GCAGATTCAATCGCTTTCAATCCATCCAAGTGGTTGATGGTACATTTTGATGCGACAGCATTGTGGTGAGTGGCTTTTGAGAGATCGATGAGGCTCTAAGGTAAAGGTTCTTCATTTTTAGGATTAAGGACAGCACCGCCGTACATCGCACTTTTAATGTGGAGCCGCTCTATTTGCAGCACGAAAATTCGGGTGTCTCCATTGATTATATGCACTGGCAGATACCGCTGAGTAGACGCTTTCGCGCCTTGAAAGTTTTCTTCGTTTTGCGCTCGTTCGGCATCAAAGGCTTACAAAAGCATATACGTGAAGGAGTGCGATTGGCGCAAAAATTTGAAGCGTTGGTGCTGGCCGATCACCGTTTTGAGATACCAGCAAAACGTCACTTGGGTATGTAGTGACTTGAAAACTCAATTCTAGAGAAATCATAATTAATGCATAATTATAATCTTCCAGGCATGGTGGTGTTTCGGATCAAGGGTGAAAATGAAATCACCGAACGTCTTTTGAAGCGCTTAAATCATCGCGGTAATCTTCACTGTATACCATCATCGTTAAAGGGCAAATATGTTATACGATTTACGGTAACATCTACTAACACAACTGTCGATGACATAGTAAAGGATTGGAATGAGATAAGACGTGTAGCCTCTATGATACTTGATGAGATGAATATTACAATATCGAATAGAAATAAGGTTTACTTGAAAGGTAAGCTAGGAAGATGTATCTTATATGTATATGTACATTAGGTTTCATCACTCTCCATCCAAAAAAAAAAAAAAAAATCAGTACCTAGTGTTTTTCCAACCGAGTTATAAAACCTATTATATTTCAGAAAAGTAATAAGATTCACGTGAGCCTGTCGGATAAGAAAATACTTCCAAAAATCGAGTTTTTTTAATAAAAAATTTCGTTTTAATTTTTATATTTTTTTCAAGTCAAGATAAAAGTTTTGCGTAAAAATGTTTAAACATTTTATCAACGGAATCAAAATAATGAGATTTTTTGAGGTATTTTCAAATCGGTCCAGCTCACGTAAATATATATATAAAATATAATACATTTTGTAATTCCGAAAAAAGAGCAACAATTTTTTGGCGAGGCACCCTAATGTAAAAACATGTTGGCTATTCATAGTGATTTTACTTATCGCCATCCAAGGGTGAAAAGGTGTCAAGTCCATTTTTTTTTATTGTTCTGGAGATACGAAAAATCAATGTATTTTGGTATTACCTGGTTCGGACAATTCTCTGTCCACAGTTTGAGTGCCTGTGAGAGAGAGTGGGCCATGATGCAGCGTGACAAGTCTAACGCTACTAGGCCGATTCTCTCACCGGAACGGTTACGGTTAAGGCCACGAGCTATCTGAGTATTTGTAGTGTAAAGTGCTCTTCAGGTGTTGTTCGACGAAACTGCCAAAAACTACCAAAACTTTTTCTAAGAATTGAAATTAAAAAGTGTGAAATTTTGATGAAACTTTGGCAAATTTTCCTAATTTTTCTCAGAAAACTTTTCCAGAACGGCCAACTTCAGAATTTCGTTGCCGAATGCCCTATCTCATAATACGGTTCAAAAACGCCCTTTCTCAGCTGAAAATGTATTGAAAATGTGCTGAGATAGGGCGTTTTTGAACCGGATTCAAAGTTAGGGCGTTCTTGAAAAGTGTTCTGAGAAAGGGCGTTTTCGAACTGCCTGACGAGATAGATCGATCTTCCACTCAGGTGTCGCAATAAAAGTGAAAGAAAAACAGCTAAAACTTTTAATTGTCGCGCCCCTATTTATTGTCCCGCTACGGCACATATTAAATCCATTCTGACCAGTGTACTATATACGTATTTATATACATTATATTGTGTTAGTTGTTGACTACATACATACCCATTTCGATTCCGTAGATGCTAAAGAGAAAAATGAAGCTTTCGGCTCTAGTCTACTACTATCAAATTCACCACTCTCGCCGAAAATCGTCAACGGTTCATTTGCAGCCATATTCGATGCAGATGAATTTTTGGCCAAAACTTATGCTGGTGTGCGAATTGCTGTAAGTAATCACTATAAGTAAATATTGTTGATTACATTTGCTCTTGCTGTTGCTAATATATTTGACAATTTACCTTATATTATTAATGATTTTTCACAGCATCAGGAATCACCATCGATGCGGCGACGTGTACGAGGTATTTTAATGTCTGGTAAGAAAGAAATATATACATTGTAAAAAAAAAAATATTAAAAATATATCAAAGTACACGTTAATTTGCCTTACTGATTGGCTATTTATTCTTTTTCGACGTTCCCGCACAGGCAAACAATTCTCATTGGACTCTCATATGGATGTGGTTGTGCAGAGCTCTTTCGATTCCGGTACCAATAATTCAAGTACCGAAGCAAATGGCACGGCATCACCAGTGAAGAAAATTAAAAATCCAAATCCTATATGTGAGGATAGTGAAGAGTCCACGGAAGGTATGCAGTCCAGGTAGAGTAGTCCCAACCGCCTTGCAAATGCTAAATGATGTAGAGTATTCATATTTGTTCTTGCTATTGTTGTTTTAATGAAGCTTCACCTGCAGTGGAAAGTAGAGAAGAGCTCGATTACTAATTGACTAGTTATATATTTTACAAGTTAAAATCGGTGCAGTTGCGCATAGAGTTATGGTTTGTCTAAAAACTTGCACTTTTTAAAATGTATTTGTTTACTTTTTTCTTATTTTTTTTACATTCAATAAGACGGACCATATCCACTAAGTATTTGCGCACTGCATTTATTTTACGTTTACATTACTCACTTAATCTTTTGTTCCACCTTGCACGCATAGATTATCCAACGGCTAGACGCAGCGCAACGCCGCCCGCCTACTCCACGACGAAGATCGCAGCTGAATATCTAAGTCAACATTCCATCACCTCTCCCAGCACACCGCTACCATCGCCACGACACAAAACTACCGCCACGCAAACATCACAAAACCCCTATAAACCGTTGCACGCTACTGTGGATGCAGTTTCCGATGAGATAGCCGACGATTTGTCCTCTGACCGTAGTGCATTGGAAAAATCAAATGCACAGTTAGTTGCTGCGACTTGCAAACTACTTCTCGCCAACACACAACCAACACTCGCGCCAACTTCATCAACTGCACCAGCTTCGCTGCGTACCACACCATCGCCGCCACCGCCACCGCCACCGCCAGCATCTGCCGCAGCGCAACCAAATGTGGATAACAACAATTCCACACAACAATTGCAATCGCAAGCGCGTATGTTCATACGCGCGAATACCATGCAGGAAGTCTATCATGGCAAGCGCTACCTGGAGGCGGGTCTAGCTGTGGCACCCTACAACAATTACTTTGCTAACACTATAATAAATGCGGGAACACCAAGCGGTGGCGCCACACCGACCACACCTAGCAGCGCTGATACACCTGACGCCGAGTCGCAGTGGACCGCGCTATTTCACAGTTTCGATACTGCACCTGCGGTTTCGGTGCGCAGCGCTAGCGCTATACCAGCGCGTCTTACAAATATGGAGAGCGCTTCAATGCGTTCCACTTCGACGCTACCCAGCATCGATGAAAGCGCATCCGAATGTATGTCCATATCATCCGCGTCAACGCAAGCTGAGACGTGTAGTATGCCAGCGCAGCTGTTGTCCAAACGACAAAACGTACCACGATTCTATAGCGCGCCCACTGGTCGAGCGACCGCGATGGCAACGACGATGACGCCGGCGGTGGCTGTGGGGTCGGCCGCAGCGACGTTGGCTTCATTTGCAGCGAATGCTGCAACGCTCTCTGAAGACGAAACGGATGCGGATGCGTGGCAGGTGGCGTGTTGTGGCAGCTCGGAAGAATACTCCATCACATCATCGGGTGTACAGTCGCGTTCCTCGTCGTTAGATCTAGGCTGATTTTGGTTGGACGCTTGCTCGGAAGTGAGTGAAGAGAAGGAGTGATAGATAAGAACTTGATTTAAATTAGGATTGTTAAATATAGCGCATAGTTATAGTGTATACATACATTCTATTATTGTATTTGGTAAAGTTTGCTGTTGACTTTGGACGGAACTTAAGGAAAGATGTATGTAATTATTAGGCAAAAATGGAATGGAATTTTAACCATATTTTAAGAAAATATATAAAAAATGCTATTTCTTTAATGAAATTTAAAGAATTGTCAATATTTATGTATGTGATCGTATTATTTCTTTGGTATGAATCGAAAATTTGGGACTTGCAAAAAAAGAATCTCAATATTTTCGATTCGTACAATTTAGTCCTATCTGGATTTTTATTTTTATAGCTCAATATTCTTTTAACTTTATTTCAATTTTAGTTTACATAAATGGTATTTAATTCTACTTATTTTAATTAATTTTTCATTTTAATTAATTTCATTTTTTTATTTTATAAAAATCTATCAGAAGATATTCGTATTTAAAAGGTTACATACATTTGTATTGGAAGGGTGGAAAATCTTCTGCTGTGCTAGCAATAAATAATTTGGAAAATCTACATTAATCGTAGCAAAAAAACGCAAAAAAAAAATACTTCAATGATAAACTAATTCAATTTCTGTTTATGTCTATACAAATAAATATTACGCTGAAAACGTATAATTCTTGAACAAACAGTATATCTAAATATATAACTTTGAAAAATATTTCAATCCAATTCCGGTAAAGGACTTGATGGCATTAACACTTAACGAAGAATATCTTATAACAAGTGTTAATGCTAAATATATACTAAAATAATCACTATATTATACTCTATATACATACATACATATTTATTAATTGTTGTATGAAAATACATACTAAAATATTCAGCAATATTCCCCATATATTATACTCATATGTAATCTATATAAAATATATCTTATCCCCCTAAAAGTGAATAACATTTATGAATATTACTGGCATATAAAAATTTTTTTCCTAGAAATCCAATGCAACGAACATCTTTGCGAAATGAACACTGATTATTAGTTAAGAATCTTATGAATCTAAATACATAATAAACATATATACATAGTTGTAAGCAACAAAAACATGTTCACTACTGCATACAAATAAAAATATTCATAAATCCATAAGTAAAGTTATAAAAACATAATTATAAATAGTCTGCATGCTGCATAGATATGTATGTATCTACGTTTACCAAAGAACTAAACTACATACATGTACAAATATGTAAAAAAATGCTAAAAAAAACTAGAAAAAAGCAAAAACAAACAACAAAAAAATGCCATTTTAGGCGTATAAAATCGTATAAAAGATTTTTTAGCTGTAAAAAAAAATAGTTTGAGTAAATACACAGCAGAAAGATATTAAAAAAAAAATAAAAGCGACTTGTTGAATAGTAAAAATTTCAAAACCAAAATGTTACATGATTTAAAAATTTCAAAATGAACAAGCCACACTTTTCTGAATGTACTAATATTATAATCAAAGTCGACAACACTCCAAATACATATTTTTAAAAAACTTAAATTGTGCTTTTAAATGTAATTGTGTATATGCTCTACCAAAACGCCAAAAAGAATGTTATTTTAAAATTTCATGAAATAAAAGAAGAATCTCTATACAAATACTTAGTATGTCCAAATTTGAAAATAAATGTAAAACTAAATCAAAAATAAATGTTCTGGTGTTATCTAACACTGTTTGATTGAAAATACTTTTAATACTCATTATTATATACTTATGTATATTTATACACCGACTATATACATATACAGCAAACATATAGCAAGTACAAATTACATTACAATTTATATAGCAAAACAGCGACGATTTACATATGCGCATAGTTTAAAAAGAAAAATTGCGCAGCCATTATTCGCTTGCTAAAAGTGGATAAGTCTCTCTGCCGCCGTAGTCAGCCGATCGCTCAGATTCGGTTTCATTTCCACAGCTGCTTTGAAGAAATTATAATTTTTATTAAATGCTAGATGAATGTGGTTTACATACATACATATGTATATGCAAAATACGCACCATGAATCGCCTCTCAGACTTAGTAGTCCCGTGCCACCTGCTAAAGCAAATATTTTGGCGATCAAGTAGAAAGACATGATCAGCAAGAGCACCATATCGTGGTAGATAATGAGTGCGGCCAGCAAATAATCATTGATCCGCATTTCAGCATATCGATAGCCATTTATAGTTTGTGCGTGGTACATGAGGAACTGAAATGATATAAAGGCAAGGATATGGCAGTATACGATTAAGGTATTATAACACCACTCTAGCAGCCGGAAAGAATGCCTAAATTTTATCTATAGTGTTTTACGGGAGTATGAAACAAGAAATCGGATGTCTGTTTGGCGAATTTATTAAGTAGGAATGAGGTTTGGAAAAAAAAATTTATTATCAGTTAGTACAAAGGCAGCTTTTTTCTTAGTGTCAAAATGGGGGGGGGGGGGGTTAAGGATGTTAATTTTTTCGCTTTATACGATCCCGGAATTATCAGTATATCGTTAATACAAGCCCGGGATTAGTTCTCCTACCATAAAATTAATAACAAATAAATGGGTTTGAAACCTATCGTTTTATATTTAGTGGCGTTTTTATTTTTCTCTCAGACGTCAGGATTTATTTTAAGGGACTTTGTAATTTCAAAGATATGATTAATTTCAAAAATTATTTAAAAAAATTCAATGCAATGTTGAATAAAAAAATGGGTACCAAATGAAAGAGGAGAGTTCTTTAGAATTAAAAAAAATTAAATTTTCTGAATTCACAAGGACGAATAGGTAATTTTTTAAGCTGATATAAATAGAAGGGTGAAATTCGAGCATGTTATATAAGTCCTTAATATATAATTTTTTCAAAAACAAATATTGCGAAATATCAAGGATAAAATTTTAAAAGGACATTTTCAATACTTAACATTCCTAGTGGACACATATCTCGGAAGATATAAGACTTGGAACCAAAAATCAAAAAGATTATTCATCTACCTAATATTGAATATAGGAGTAACGTAGGTAATTTGCACTTTTTGAAAAAAATCGAATTTTTACAAAAAGAAATCCGCCTTAAATTATATCTCGAAATAATATATGTATGTATGTAAATTTTTGTGAAGCTTCTGTTAAAATTTCAAAACGATCTGTGCTATAGTCTGGATTTGAAAACAATGGTTTCGGAAAAAATCGCATTTACGAGCACTGCAATCATTACCCAGGTGGTGCGGCAAATAAATATATCTAAACTACAAAATAAATCGAACGCCGAAACCGAAGCTTAACCCGAATGTTTCATATTTGTTTTATTTACGATCAAAGCCGCCACCGAACCCGAACTATTTGAGTAGGCTACATATTAAAATTGTTTTCAGGTTATAGAATCATTAAGGATGGGAAAGCCATAGGTACTTAATTGAAACTTTTCTTTAACAATTATAATATAGAAAGGCTTTTAAGTAGTTCCACATGAGCATCTTCACTCCCTCACTCTCAACTTGTGTAGTTTGGCTGAGTTAATGGAAATCAGCGGATCCGCTTAGTCAGATCCACTATTTTGGTAAAATAGTTCGAAACAGAACTTCACAAAGTAGAAGAAACTGGCGACAAGCAAACAAACGATTGGAGTGCCCAATAAAAAATTGTGGTGCTCCTGAACTGGGATGATTTGATGCTCACTGCGTAGAAGAGTCTCAGGGCATAGCATAAGGCATCCCAAGGCAAGCTATCCAAGTAAATCCAACAATTTTCGGGATATTTACGGTCAATATTGTAGTACGCCCGTGATCGTTCTGAGTTCTAGCAGCTCTAAATGCAATCTAAAACTATGCGTTTATCATGTGCCACGATTAATTTTAAAACTTGGGTATTTCAATGACTTTTGCACTCACTAGTTTTTAAGAGATTTTCATAGTGCATAGTGCATATTGCGTCTGGGGTCCTAAGTAAAAGGTAATGCAGTGGAACTTGTAGATTAATCAACAATATAGGCCTGATTTAGAAGACGTTAGCAGTGCTTGTTCGAAACGTCCAATTCAGTCTACAAAAAGGATAACATTTTTGTTGTACGAAGCAAAAAAATCATAATTTTTTCTTCAAATATTTTAATCCAGTCAAACTAACTTTTGATATCTCAAAACCTTCAAAAAAAATTATAATTTTAAAGGATTTTCATGATAATGAGATAAATGCTTCAATAACCTCTAAAAGTAGTTAATATATATACAGCGTAATTAAGAATATCTTCCTGCCCAAATACTCACCATTAGTACGGTTATTATAATGAATAACGAATATAAGTAAAAGGCTATCTTAACGCCCGACAATAGTTGCAGCATCACCAAGAATACTGATGTAATAAAAAATATAACCGCAGCCACAAACATTATCACCACATCCAATGTAAAATCGTGCTGAAAATATAAAAAAAAAAACCAAGCATTAGAACCAGCAGAAAATTGTAATTTAGAGGCTGCGTCAGCTTACATTAATGAATACTCCAATTAATATAAAAACCAGGGCCAAAACTAGTACCACTATTACAGTAACGGCGAAAAGCAAAAGTTCCGGTTCAACTATGGCGCGTGAAAGACCCCATGTCATCATGATAACCTACAATATATAGATTTTTTTCCATTATAGACAATCATAATGCGTTTTTTCATATTCGCGCTTACTATTATAATGGCGATAATCCAATTTAATGGCGCTGAAAAGCGTAGATTCTCGAAGAATACAAAAGCTGTAACCATTAACATGCTGATAAGCAGCGCTATTATAGAAATAAAGTAAAAATCAATAATGAAGTTCCGCAGTCCATCACTGTTGGGGGGAGGAGAAAGCAAGAAAAAAAACAAGAATTTTAATTAAAAAACCATAATCACAACAGCCAAATAGTGTCTACTTACACGGCGATCATTATGATCCATTGTATTACTGATATAGCGAAGAAGATGAAGGCCAATGTATAGACAATGCGAGCGAATCTTGAACGGTCCTGCCGATATTGGAATAAACGTGATCTGATGGGATCATCCGCCATTGTGCCACTTGGCGCTCAAAACACACTTGAAAATTTTGTAATCTCTGGTCTGCTACCAGAAGTTATGTGTTTTTTTTTACAAATTTAAGATTTATTTTATAAACTATTTCTTTTTTAATTTTTTATTGTATACAAAACAAACTGATAATTTTTCAAAACAATTATGAAGTTTATTGTTCCACAAAAAAAGTGAAATGAGCAAAATTTAGAGCAGGTATTCACAATGGGAAATATGTATACAAACTTGATGGTTTACCTCGACTATATAATTGAATTTCGTACAAATAATATAATAGTAAATGCATTACGGAAAATAATCTAAACTAGGGTTTTCATGTTATGTGCGCGTTGTTTTTACAAGCTTGTATTTAGTTTCACCTGTCCCGGTGTTTAAAAATATATCTTGCAATAAATTTTTACACAACTTCCCCATGAGCCAGAGGCCTGAAACTTCAAACTTAGCTCTCAAACACCGATGACAATGCAATATGAAGCATCCCGAGCACAAATACCAAAAAAATATTTCTCCAACCTTGGAGAAATTCCAACTCATCTCTAACCGAAAGATACGTAAAAAGTGATAGAGAAACGAATTTTTAATTATCAAGTGAAAAACTATTGGCCTTATTCATACAAAATAAAGTAGGTTTAAAGAGCTTTATAAATTGGCGTTTGCATACATTTTTCAATTTATAAACCTTTTATAAAGCTACTTTATTTTTTATGAATAAGGCCATAAAGCTATATAAAAAGGAAAATTACCAACAAAAAGTAAATAATCTTCAAAGAAAATAAAACGCGAAGTGAATCAAGTGGCAGAATTACTATAGGACTGTATATTGTGAAGTGAATTATTGTAATACGGTATTGATTAACTACATAAAACAAAAGGAGAAATAAAATAAAAAATTATTTAAATTCATCTATGTACATATGTCGTTTCAATCAAAAAGTTTTAAGTTATTTTACTATTTCAATTTCAGTATTTCAATGATAGGTATGTTTGAGACCAATTGGAGAATCACATTGGAGTTCAAGTTGAAAACTAGAATTTTTCAACTTGAGAAACTGTCCTATTTTCATACAAAGAAAAATACACTTTTTGTTCAGAATGCTCCACTTAAGGTACTATTGAGAAACAATGTTTGAGATTTGAGAAATACCATAGCTCTCCACTTGCCCTCAAGTTGAGCTCAAACTTAAATGTTTGTTAGGATGAATTAATTCACAAGATAGCAGAATTTTTTGAAACCCCCGTATTTATGGTCTGATGAAAATAAACACATCCACAAAAATGGTATCCGGTAGGTGGCGCGGGGCTCGATATATGTTGAAAAACTACGTCTATGGTCGATTTAGTTCATATTTAGAATAAGTATATATTACCTGTGTACATTAAGAAGAAAGTTTCAAAATAAAGTGTGCCGATAGGTGGCGCAAGTGAAAAAATCAACGGAAATTTTTAGCCATTTGAAATTTGTTATTTATTATACTAGAATTCCATGGGCTACAAAACTACATACATACTCAAAACCTTTCAAAGAAAACTAGTTAAAAAGATCGAAATTTTCACGAAAGTTTGTTGATTATTTGTTTATATTGCACCTATTTAGTTTGAGACTTGAATTTACACGGTGTTTGTTAAAGAAGTACCTATATATATATACATATAAAAAAAACAAAGTTAAATAACAAACAAATAATATGTTAAAACTTGTATGTGGTGCGGCTATAATTTTTTCGACCACTGTACATATAAGGAGATTGGCTGTCCGGTTATAGTTTCAGAACTATGGCTCTTAAGACTGGCCCTACACGTCTTCTGTTGTCGCCTTGGCCAACAGCTCCTGTCAGGATATTACCGTTGGGACCACCCTGCAAAAGTCATCTCATGAATGTCAAAGGTCAGGTGCAGCGATGCGTACACTATGCGCTGAGCCAGGCAGGCATTAATCGAGACTCATCAATCAATAATAGCTTGGTCATCCCCTCACCCCTGGATGCCGTCATTAAAGGCGAACGAAGATCTCGAGTTGCCTTGCGCGACTTACTCTTCAGAAAGAAGTTCTACGCAAAAATACTGTGGATTACGCTCAGTGGAAAATCCCCTTATAAGTTGCGGCGAAAATTAGTAAATATACTACGATATTGCTGAAATATGAATTTTTATGAAATTTTTTCCTCTACTAACAGACACTATTCACCAAACCATAAAAAACTGTTAACAACTCTGTAGGTCCCTGACTTTGCGTAATAAGAAGGGATCGCGAAAAAAGTTTGTGATTACTCTCGGAGGTCTAAAAGTTATAGAAACCCCCGATTATTTGGCGTTCTTGGAGGGTGACTATGGAGGAAATTATGACGCCCAAAACCTCTCGAAGTAAGCTTTCAAACTAAGGAGGTGACTACAAACTTTCTTCTTTTGTATGGCAAGCTCAGCCAAATATCCAATAATGCATGTACGACCTTCTGTTGCTTTTATTTTTAAAACAAAATAAAAGTCTAACCGAAAATGGATTTTCTTTTCAAACTTTAAAGACAATCTTATCTATATTTATTATATATACCTTTATATTATTGCATCACTCACCAGGGTATATTTGAATAAAATGCAAAACAGATGAACTTAAAGATACAATGGACTTAAAAACTTAAGATTAACTAACCTAACCGTACCAAAACCGGACTAAGTTGTCAAGTCAAACGGGACTTGAATGAGCGCACCCACCACAAACTAACCTAAACTATATGGAAAATATTGACTCAGATGTAAATTCGGAAGCTAAACAAAAGCAAGTAATGCCGTTTAATGACATAGGTTGGGGTAGGTAGGTAGGTTAAGCTTGTTGCCTCAAACAGGGGCACACTTTGCCCAAAAGTATTGATTCGACGAACCAAATTACTCAGACGGCATATATCAATTCCTAAGAGTTGATTAGTACTGGGTAAGACGTGCGATCTTAGGTGTTAAGACCGCAATCTTGGAAATGTGGAGATTATTCCATCTCTCCGTCGTACAAGCTGTCAGAAAGAATCTCGAGAGATTTTCAGTCTCACCGCATGAAGTCGAATCGATATAGTTGAAAGTTGTTGCCCTGTGGCTCACAACGAGGTTCATGGGCCGACTCTTGTCCACCCTCAGTAGCAAATTTGGTGGTTTTCCCCCAGCATTCGCTTAGTTGACACGCTAGTCAACCGCCAAGGATTGGTGATTGGTGTACATATAGCATACTAGAGTACTCCCACTCCTTATTTTCGGTGCGACTGTCTTGAAGGTGGCTTTCCTGGCACCAATATAAGTAACTAGTAAATACTCAGCAGCGACCGAAAAAGGGATCAGGCATATCCCAAGATTCTGATTGCCGCTTGACTATCAGAGTAGATATTTACCTCGCGCCATCAAAGCATCCACCTCTACCTGGTGAACGGTACAGTGATCTGGAAGCCAAAATTTTAGTTTGACGGAGAGTTCCCAAAATACCCCACCTCCGTCAAGCTTCTATCCATCCGTGTAAAAACTCATCGGCGCCACTTTTCACCCATTGCCTCCCATGCTTCCATCCCTAGACGAGAGGTGAGTGGAGAAAGAGCTAGCCAGGCAGTTATCCGTGTGGTCAGGAATAAAGGCAGAGAATCCACAATGTCGACGAGCGCCATCTTTGTTAGTTATTTTGTTTGGCCGTTGACTTTCATGAAATATAAGACGATGGGTTGTTTGAATGACTAAAACTTGAAAGCGCTCCCATCATTTGCGCGCTTTAAGGCCTTAATCAATTTAAGAACCACGGTTTTGTCTATTTAGACTGCAGTTTTAATTGCAGAATTTGGTTCTTTTTAATTACGCTTACGTTGCATATGTACTCTGAAATTTCCTAACAATATACTTAGCCACTTACACATGTATAAATAAATTTGTAAATGTGGCCACCCAAAAAAATCTAATAAAAAACATTAAAAAATCCTATTACAATGAAACCAGCATTGACATCGAATGCCAACAAAATAAAAAACTATTTGCAGTCGAAATTTCCTTTGTATACTTAACATCGGTTTATGTGTTTCAAAGTGGAATGCCGTTGGTTAAGGTAATTGGAACTAAGCCAACCGTAGCAGAAGCTGCTGAAGTGGCATTAAGATTAGCAGAAAGAGGAGAAAGTCCTCGAGATGTACAACCGGAAGGCTCAGCAAAAGTTTTGCAACGACGAATCACAGATGAATCCGACACACAAATTAGGCTACAAATTAAAGAAGGGGAGGATGATACGCCAGAAGGAGTACGCGCTATGCGAAAGGGACATAGCGCTTTCGTAGGGGAGGTGCATGCGCATGCGTTAGGTTACCTACTTTTTGCCATATTACAATGGCAACTACTATATCAGATGTAAGTTTGTTTCAATTCGGCGGTAATGTTGATTTTTTCTTTTCTTTTCACGTATTTTTTGTTGCAGCGAAGGACTTGTTAAATTTGTGAATTCGCACTACTACATCTCGTTGATTCCGTTCACGATAAGCTATGTGATGCTGATGTGCTTGGTATTTTTCTATAATCTACTATCCCAAGGCAGGAGTAAAGTGAGATTTTACGTTTATACAGGAATAATGGTAAGTATGACATTTCGTGGAAATTATGATAAGTGATTTCTAAGCAGAGTGCAGAAGACTCCACTGAACTGAAGATCTCAATAGGGAAAGATTATTTCGATAGAAAAGTCATCTCAAGGCTCGAGAATAATAAAAAAGAAATGAGTTAGGGCACAGAGGATCAGCCATAATTTCTTTGAATATATTTAACTTTTGAAATTCACGCGGTAATGTCTTCGTGGGCATATCCTTAATTTTTCCCTGATAATAATATTTTGGCGCTTAAACTTTTGCCAAGTGTTCGGAAGAAGAGACCTACAATTTTACGCCGTCTCCGAATAGCAAATGGTTTTTATGAGAAGCTTCTTTGAAGGCAGGCAGATATATTTAGGTACAATCGGCTGTTTGTCATTGCCTGCCGAGGGGCGCCTGCTGTTAGTTGGAAGACTTTTTCTAATT